CCATGTTACAGGAACATCTCTCAAAAGACCCTCCTTTATTACCGGCATAAGTGATAAAATTAATTAGTCGAGCATAACTAGAAGCCATTGATTGATCTTGCCTATAAAAAGCCAAGAATAAATACTCTCGCAATTTTCTTTTATATCCACTCTGATTTTTTACATCGTTTATATCATAATTCAATTTTACATGCATTTATATTGCGTATAATTGACATTTGCCGTTTTTGAACAAGTAATATTTTTTATAATGTTATAATAAATATACATTATATAAAGATAAATGAGAAAAGTAATGTACACCCTTGAGAGAACAAAATCAGCTATCCGAGAAATTTTGATTACGTAAAAAGGAGCATATTTGCTTTTTACGTTGCATATGTAGTTTATGTATATTTGCAGCTCTCTCTCTCTCTCTCTCTCTCTCTCTCTCTCTCCTCTTCGATATCACTTAATGTCACTAAATTTACAGATAATAATTCATCTGCGACATCAAAGTCATGAATCTTACGGCGGAGACAGTCACTTCCCAAAGCCAGTTTTGAAAGGCAAAAGCGAGCACGAGATCATATATCGCCTTTTCCATTAATATTATCTAATAAAAGATCTCAGAAAGAGAGCATATCTCCTACAATACGTTTTCTGCTTTTATATAATTTTTTGAAATATGGAAGAAAGAAAGAGAGAGAAAGAGAGAGCAAAAAAGAAAAAATCATGAAAAAAAAAGAATTAATAAAATTATCTTATAAGAAAGATTTGTTATAATTACCAAGCTTCAAATCAATACACACATAAGTAATTAAAATGCAAAAGATATTTCTTTAAAAATTCTTCAATAAATTTCTGCAGTAATTCATAAGATGGTATTTTTTTTACACATTACAAAAAATTTTAAAAATTTCATATTATATGACTATAACTAGAAGACAAATAATGCTATATATTTATATGTAAATTATGCAATATCGATTTTTACTGTTCAATTATAACATTCAAATACGATAATGCATGACGCAAATTGTACTATATATATGTATATTAGATATGATAGTCACACGTGCCTCAGATGCGAATATGTCACGACTATCGCTTGCAACATTGCGTGTGAGCTGCATACATCTTTACATGTATATTCTACATCTATTTCATGCATTCGCACGGAAAACGCAAATGATAGCAATAAATCGATGTGTCGTAAAAATAATCACAGTGATTTGTCCCGCGGATGAGCATATCTACGAATAAAAACTCTCGTCCCGAGTACTTCACGCAACATTTACGTCATTTATCGCGTATTTGCTACTCTCGTTATCTTTGGTCTGTAAAAGTCTTCTATGATAATAATGTCTGGAAGTTGATAGCTCCGTTATACTTAAAATAATTTTAATATGTTCTCGGGTTTTGGAATGTTGATAAAAATTCGTACATATAACAACAAGATTATTAGGAAAATAAAATGGACGCAAATGTCTTTTTACAGATTTCTCTCTCTCTCTCTCTAAAAAGTAAATTTAATAAAAACATTTACAATGGGATATAAAGTACGACGTCTTCTTTCTGAACACTTAAAGAGATTTAACCCAATTTATTACCAACGGTTAATTGTTATTTTTATGATCTTCCGGATAGTCGCATAACGAATGGTCAGCATCAATTTCAAAATCATCAATTTCAAAATCATCAAAGATAAATACTAACATCCGGTCTTTCACACGATAGTAAAAATAATTCCTTGTTTTAAATAAGTAAAGACGATTTATATAAGCTTTCCACGAATTTTTCTCCGCACCTGTCAAACATTCCTCTTCCATCGAGAACGGATGCTACTTATTTTTTAATGGCTCCTCAAAACAGCATAATATGAGACAGCTCTTACTTTTGTGCCAAAAGAAATATCTTTCTGAGTCAAACAAAACAAAAGGCGAAATCTAGATGTACACATGATAACGTAAACGTCTCGATCGACGTTTAAACAAATTGCACCGCGTGCGCGTCTCACGGATCATAAATCAAGTCCTGAACATTTCGGGCGCTTGCATTAACGATTTTGACAGCAATTTTTTTTTTTTTAGACAAAGCGAGAGAGAGAAAGAGAGATAAATTTGTGATAAAACTGCGACCTTTATTCAATTCAGGAGTTGTAGCTAAAACTACTTAAAAACTTTTGATGATTCTTCGTTTTCATGTTTTCGTGAATGGAAATTATATCATTGTTTTTGTCTCGATGATAATGATTATAATATTTACAATAATAAAAATAATATTTACCATCGTTTATTCGCAATAATTAATAATATTAATAAACATGATAATGTTTATCGATTCATCAACGAAGTATTTATTCCGTTTTATCAAACGCATTATCAAACAGAACCGTTCGCGAAAAAACAATATGTATAATATGATGTATTTTTCGATAAAAATTATAGATGAACGATGAGTAAAAACAGCACAGATATATAACAGTAGCTTAAATGCCAATTGTACAATCACGTGCCAGAAATTAAACTATATAAAAAAGAACTATACTAAATTTATGATTTATGAAAATATTTCGGAAAATTTGCGAATTTATAATTAAAAAAAAATTTCTAAGTACTTTTTGTTAATAGAAAACAATTTCACTGTCGCGTATAAAAATCACAAAGTTATATATTAAACATAACATCTAAACTCATATCATTTATTTAAACGATGATATCATAATCTGCGCACAATATTGAGAAGTCTAAAGTTTACGCTTTTAAAACGCGATTGGATAAGGCTTCTTATATGACAACTCCACATATTCCCTCCCTTTTTCTTATTTATAAAGATGTAAATGATAAATAAGACACAGATAAAGATTTTATAAAAAATAAACAAGGATATATTTTTATGTTCGATATTCGTTGCAAGCGCGCGCGTCACTCATTGTGTAATTAGGTATTACATAACTAATCATTTCACAACCAAAAAATACGAGAGGCTTGCTTATAAATACCGATATTCGCAACAAAGCTTCTTATGATACGTTATCATAAGGCGTTATTGTCAGAGCTTACCGTTGCTGAACACAGTTCGTTTTACATACGGTGATGTCAAGAGCGTAAGTGGCACTTTTTTTAACGTCGGGACTGTTTATCGATGTGGCTAAGTTACATGCGCTTATGCTGCGTGTGCTTGCTCAGTTATAAGAGGCATAATGCACTAGATACACGAACGGGATGCATCGGCAACAACGGGATTAGTGGATAGGTGACAACGGGATTAATAACGAGAGACGCCGCAATAATCACACTTAATAATAAAAGCCACTGATCTAATGCTTGCATAAAAAAAAAACTATGTATATACATATATGCAAATATTTTTTAAACCGTTCTTCTACCGCATTGCGCGTAATCGAATACAATCAAAGTTAATTGAATCTCCCAAATGGCAGTTTTTATGCTCAAAATGCTCGGTCCGAATTGCTTTCATCTGCATGCAAATGTATGGAATGCTTATGAAATCATTCTACTTTTTTCAGAATTACTAATTCAATCTATGAAAAAATGTTTAATAAATATTTCTCTTTAAAACGAGCGATTATAGAAATATGACAACTTTTGCGTACAAAATAAGTTATACGTAATAAAAAAAGCTTTTTGCAAAAAAATTAATCTGTTTAATATATTCAATTCATTCAAATTAAAGCAAATTATATTTTAACAGAACATTGTGACTAAAGACGCAGTTATTAGAGAGCTCTCATGTTAAAAATAAACTCAAGCTCTCTCTCTCTCTCTCTCCTTCTCTCCTGAGAAAATAAGTTCGTACATGGAGTGCCGCGACGCTAGGCGCCACGTCTCCTGGCGAGACGCCAACATTATGGATTTCGGAATATACCCCAGAGAGAGATGTTTCTCTCTCACAATTTCCCCTTTTCTAAGTTGGTCAGCGAAGAAATTGACCTCGTGTTTGATTCGCTATTGTCCAGCTTATTTTCAAGGATCATCAAAAAGTGATGAAAGTCCCTGCGTAACTCTTAATCACCGCAAGTGACGTCTTTTGCCAAAGTTCGTGAAAACAAGATTCTGAAAGTGAGATAAAAAATTTTCGCGTAAGCGAAAAATTGATGAATATGTATCTGATAAATTATTCAATATTCGACTTGTATGTGGAATTTCTGTATCACCAGACATAGCTTACCCTCGTATAAATAATATAAGATTTTGACTCTTACCCCCTTCTATTACTCTTTTACTTTTAAGAAATTTTATTAATGATGGTACAGGTACAGGATGAACTATTTACCCACCCTTATCTTCAAATATTTTTCATAATGGCCCTTCTGTAGACTTAACAATTTTTTCTCTTCATATTGCAGGTATATCATAATCAAATTTTATACAAAATAATATAGAGATCTATTTTGCTTTTTTTAACGGTTAACTTATTGGAAAAACGGAAAACAATAGCGACGTTGATAAAAGTTTGAATTGATCCAAACTTCTGAGTTTAAAGTAACGAGAAGTTGCTGAAAACTGAATTTCTGATTTTTCTGTAGTTCACAATTTTCGAAAAGTTGAATTAAAGAGAAACACTATTAAACTAGTTCTCGATCAAGATAATATTTAGTTATAAAACTTAAAATATATTTTATATATCAGAAATATGTACAAAAAAGAGAAACAGATTTTCGAAAGAGAATTTCGTGAATAAATCTGCTCTAATTTTGCAAAAATTATGATCTCTTGCAATTTTCAAGATTATTCAATCTCTAGTTAGATAATCTGAACTCATATCATTTATATAAAAAAAAAAAAACTAAATGCTCAGATAAAAAATATTCACAACAAGGGAACACAAATAAAATAAATATTTTTAAATTTTGTTCAAACGGAAATCAATTTTTCAACCTTTTGTTGCCAATTTTTGAAATGGCTTTACAAAACTCAGAATTTGTTTGTAGGAAAGAATTGTGAAATCATACTTCGAATATTTTTGCATGAAAAGCGCAAACATAGCATCGTATATCATGTATACATAGTCAAGCGGTAGAAGCAAGTAATGGTTTTGCATTATAATTATCGACATTGTTATAAATGCGTCGAGAATGCGCCGTGGAGTCCATTAGTGCAGCATATTGGTGCGCCAGTGTTTACGTTCGTAATAGAAACATGGGGTTACAAGGGTACTCGAACATATATATGCTGATCTTGCTATTGAATGCAATCGCTATAATCAATGCTCAGTCTGGTAAGTTTTCGAAAAATAATGACTGTCTTGTGTAATATTAATTAAGAATTTTCATTTGCAATTTTACACATCAGAAAAAAATATAGATTTATAAAATTAATAAATAGATTAATAAATATTATATTTTTTAATAATAATTATTTGTGTAATTTATCTAAAAATTCGATTGCCTACGCGATTAACACGGTTTTCCATAATTTTTTCAGTGCCGAAAGGACATAGCGGAGAGAATACCAGCGGTCATAAGCATAACGATAGTCATGATAGTAGTGTCAGCACTGGCGATGATAAGAACAAGAGTAATATCAGTAGTAACACTGGCCATAATAAGAGCAAAAGTGATACCACCAGTAGTAGCATTAGCGATGATGAGGACATAAGTGATACCAGTAGTAGCGATGACGATAATAAAAGTGATATTAGTGACAACACCAGCAATGAAAATGGCAAAAATGATACTATTACAGGGAAAGATATCGAACACGATATTATCATTATAACAGGATGTATCATGCGTACAAGGATCATAGGAACTCTTATAATGCATATTACTCAGCTCACTAACGTGGTTTTTGTTTTTTTGCCCAGCTTAAGAATTCCAGTTATAAATTATTTCAATAATGTTTGTGCATTTGTAATTAATTTGCTGATACAATTCAACGGTATGTTACAAGTAATCGTAGAACTTTTGATGCCACTTTTAATTTAAGCGCAATATTCACATAAAGATTTAAGCTTCAAAATAATTTAAACTCGTCGAATTATCCATCGGAACGTGCAAAAATTAAACAGTCGAGATAAGTAAATATTCACTTATATTCAACAGCGTTATATTTTAAGTATATTAACACAGTATGAAATGAATTAATTATAACGATAAAAGATCTGATGGCAAATATAGACGATGCGTAAATTATAATATTAAAAAAATTTATTTCCCGAAGTATTAAATGTACAATTAAAAAAAAATATATATTTTTAAGCGCGACAATTTATTTGCTACAAAATATATGGAATCACGATTATACGGAAGCTCGGCAGTAGTAATAGAACTATTTGGTCAGACAGCACGTAAGTCCTTGCATTCAGGCACTAAAAAAATCGTTATAGTCAGCTATATAGAATAGATCTCTGTGGTGAGACAAGGGAAAATTCCTTCCTCTGTCGATGAATTCATCGAATTCGGCGCAAAATAGAGCAATGTAAATTTGGTTGAGTCATGTAAATGTATTATTCATCAAAAGTATCAGCGAAAACCGAGCTTACTATTTAAGGTGATCGCGCGTGAATCCGAATATCACTTATTTCAATTTAAAATTACTAGTATTTTCTGTAGTAAAACATGTATGTACTTTTTATGTACTTGTATCTGCATTTTTGTCCAATATATTGATGCTTTATGTTATATGTCACAGCTGCACTTTTAATAAAAATGTTCCGCAATTAAAGAGAAAATTGTATTTATTACACATTTGATTATATTTATTTATCTACTAAATATTTTGCATATTATTTTTTGTTATTTACCAATTAATAATCGTCGAAAATATGTATATCTATGTAAATTGATTTGTAAAAATTGCGCTATTTTATGCAAACAGTAGCAAAATAACGAGCAAATTATACTTTATTCATTAGCACACATAGTTTGTGACTATTTTCGTGATCTTATCCTGAAGTAGCATTTGGCAAGTTGACAGTTCCATCGACAATGTAAAAAATGCGCACGTGCATACATGCACATACATATGATACATATACATATATGCTACGATATACGATTGTTTCCTAGGGAAAATAAATGTGCGAATCGTAAACGCGATAGTATGGGAATATATACATAGAAATGAGAACTATGTGTCAGCTGACATGACAAATAAGCGACCGAACAAAAGCAATGATCAAACCGAAATACGTCGCAACGATAACATTTCAATTTCGTATATTTTCAAGAATTTTTCGCTTGCGAAAAATATTACACATTTTGAAAACTATTCAAATTTTGAAAATCCGATTAGATTGAAAAAACATTCCCCGTTAAAGCAACAACAATCGCGTATTCACGAACGAAACGAGGCTGAAAAAGAGTGATAGGCTCAATTAGAATACCTTCTTTGATCAGGCCTGAAAATATCGCGAACAGGTTTCGTCGAAAACATCTTGATAGATTCGCGCACAGCATCGTCTCGGAAAAGTATTTCGATAAAATCGAATTTATTTACGTCTAACAATCACGCGTGATACACATGATGCACACGAGTCGGCTCGGCGATACGGGAGCACGAGATCCCTTGAACCTGCGTGAAAGAGGTTAAACGGTCGTGATAACGATTATTTCTCTTCTCGAAACGATCGATGCTGTTAACGTCACGATCTTTATAAATCGCGAAATTATCACTCGAACAATCAGATTGGCGCAATCGTGTAGTCTTCTCCTATATTCTGTAGTAATACCTCCTTATTCTGTAATTCCCCTCGCTATTCTGTAATAATATCTCGTTACGCGAAGCACACGTGATTGATATCGCGCTGATTTTCCATGCATAATCCTTGATAGTTTCCCTTAAAATTCTACAACCATCACAATTAAACTGTTCCGAGTTTCGGATAAAGTCAATGAACGATAAGGCATATTGTACTGATAATTTAATTGTACGCGCATTCTATCTCTACTCCTGTTATCTCTACTCCTTAGGTCGCTGAATGCTAGTTGTTCTTTTTCGTAACCGAGAGACTCTTTGCGTTCGAGCATTAAACGACAAATAAAAACGAGCAAGACTCTTTGCGCAACAAACCATGAGGGACGCTAATTGGTTCCAAAGACAGAAGAGTCTTCTTTGTGAAACGTTTCACGGACGAGATTGAGTGCGAAAACGCGAGTAAATGTTTGCCACGGGCATTTCGAAAATAAAGAAGGTGAATTAATACTAGGCTACGGTCGGTCGATCCGATGGAAAATTTTCTATTTTACCTTCCCGTTCGTGTTACAAGGCATTTATTAAATAAAAAGTAAGACAAATAAATTAAAATAAAAATTAATAAAATAATAAAAATAAAAAATTTTTCACAACATTATAATAAAATTGAAAGGAGAAAAACAAAATTGTATTTATTTGTAATATTTATCGCAAAATATTATAATTCCAATGTTTTGCAAACATACATGTTTATTGAAACAGGTGTTCCAATCATATCCACGTTAAATATTGGTATCATTATTAGTACATATTTGTTATCGCGCGTTATTGTGCACTGTAACCACATATATATACCGATTGGTTTATTCGCACCGAGCGCCTAATGGTGAGGTCACGAGTCCTCGTCGTCGATGTAGGTTAATTAATTCAAAATATCGATTTTCTTTGAGGAGCAACCGACGCTCACAAGGGCATCCTTCGGATCAGTGCCGTTGGCTATCTTTTTTTTTTTCGTGAAAAGTTTTGCTACGTTCGATTAATTCAATTAGAATTACATGAAAAATCCAAGAAGATTTGTATATATTATTCTCTCTTAAAAAAAAAAAAACAAAAAAACCCGGCAGTTTCAAAGCATTCAAATATCTATATGTTGAATTGATATATAGTAAAACGCATTTTTATGTCAACCTTCCAATACAATTGCCATCAAACGGGGGTAACTTTACGAGCGCTTTTCTAAAAGGTACGTTATTACGAATATACGATAAATGCAAATTGCAGAATTTCATGAAATCGTTAAATTTGAGGAAACGAGAGGATAGTAAAATACAGATACGTGAAATCCACGAAATCGCTATTTTCTGATTGGTTGACGGACGCTTACTTGCTGATCTCGAAGCTGCACGTGTGCCAAGTGTATGAAAACAAACATAGTCCACTCCAGACGCATAAATAAATCGATATAAATCTGCTCAAGAGAATGTATTTTAGTGCGCGGTGCATAAGTGCTCGTTTAAGCTTTGATCTTAACGATTCTGACGAATATGCAAGTGGCGTCAATTAAAAATATTTTTTTTCTTTTTCTTTTAGTAAAATAATGCGATATTAAAAAAAATGATAAAATTTTTAATTATAAGGATAATTTTTTCATATATATTTTCAACTATATCGTGATATTAGGAAAGACAATGTGGTTTATTTTTAAAACGCTATTACAACGTTTGTGAGACGAGAAAGATCCCGTCGTTCACGCACAATGGAATGAATTACGGCTGAAGTGATCTTGTCAGTGGCAGTCTCACGGAATCGATAGATTTACACGCGAACGCTTCACAACTCCCGAACGATCTCGGCGAGAAATCGGCCTCTATGTGTAATCAACGCGCAGCCTCGACAGTTCGGTCACGCGTGCCACGCTTTCCCCGATATAAATCTGAAACCCTGATAGTTTGAATTTATCGTGTCCGCTCTGGTCCGCGAAACAAACGCATTTGGACGAGTTCTTGATAAATACGAGGGGCTTCGCGAGGGTAATGGGTTCATTCGTTCACCATAGATAGATACGTTAGAAAAATTCGCAGCTCTCTGCTTTCGGGGAAAAAAAGCGCGACCATATATCCTATAACGTCACGTAGTCGGGTCAAGGTAGTGCATTTATGGGACGAAATACGTGACCTAGCGAATTCAATGAAACGAATGCAGGAGACGAGAGACAGCACCGGAAGCTCAAAAACGAATGTATCAATTTGAGAGAAGACCTGTTATTTTTTGATCAAAATAAAAAAAAAAAAAATTGTTGAATTTCTAGAATAAAAGATTGATAGAGAAAAAATTGTTTACATGTTTTATATAGGATAATTCCCTTAGGATGTTATAAAACAAAAAAAGCTACAAAAGTGAAAATTTAAAACTACTGACCATAACTAAAAAATTAATAGCATAGTTTATAAAAGAATAACATAAAAAACAGAAATCTATTAAACTAATTTGAATAGATGGATTATAAATGGTCATACATATTGTTTTTTTTTTTAGGGAGGGGGGGGCGGATTTGTATAATACTAAAGTTTATATAAAATATATAAGAGTGATGTAACTATAAATCTTTAAGCAAATTATTAATATTAATAAATATGTATTATATAAATACATAATATATAATAAATATGTATTATATAAATCTTAGTTATATATTTCTTCTTTTATGATAATGGTTAAGTAACTCTGTATGAAGTAATTTTCTCCATAGAACATATTCTTTCTAGTTATATAATTCAACTTTTACGACAATATTTAACTTTCGCCAAAACTTACTTTACTTCGATTAAAGTGCAATTCCAATTCCCACGCTTTTTTAGTGGGAAATAAATCTTCACGCAATAAAAAAATAATACGCAACGTGACTTTCTTTGCGACAGTGCTGATTCTCGTTAAGCTTGAACGTCAAATTAAAACCGAGATAGGATTTTAAAGTGAGTTACGAGTTAACTTTCCACGTTTAGATTTGTTGGTTATTTATTTCTAAAAATTGAATAAGTAATTAACATGAGTCACATACGTCATTCTGAGACCGTGATTCAATTTCTAAATAAATTTTGAAGTGATGATATAACTGATTCAATCTCAGAATAATTCATATCTCACAGAATACAACACACAAAACATGATTAAAATAAGTTCTAAAAATCATTATTAGCTTTCGTTATTATTTGTTAATAAAATGCTATATTTCTGCTAAAAGCATTTGGACATACATGTATATTAAAAATTTTCTTCATTAAGATGACAACGCACATATAGACAATTAACACGAAAAAAGAATTTGTTTTTCAATCTTGTCTTTAGAGAATTTTTTAATTTTTAAATATATATATTTTATATATATCTTTTAAAGAATTAATTCCAATTTTAAATAATGTATTATTTATAAGGAAATACAAACTCTATTTCTATATATATCTTTCTCTTTCTCTCTCTGATAATGATTGCGTTAATTATCAACGCGCGTCTAAGCTTTTCCTTTTACTAAACTGACGTATGTACGTATCATTTAGCTTTCAACACACATTCACGTGAACGTCACTTTGACAAACAAGGAGCATCAATATTCTTACATATGTCACGTACGCTCAGAATAAAAGGATGACGCTTCTTTTATCAGCGAAAAGAAAGTAACTATAAAGAGTTGACGTGATGTCATGTAATCATGTTACTTCGGACTATGAACGCGAAATCGGTCGAAATCATGTAACAACTGAAAATGGTACGCATTTGCCGTAGCGCTTATGTTTATGCAAATAAGGCAAATAATTCATAAGGTGAGAATAAGCATGAGATATTTGGGCCGCAGTACAGGAAGAGAAAGGTCGTTTTAATGTACGGCTGCAAAAGCATAGGAAGAAGATGCATTTTATCTCTGCGCATATAAAAAAACGAGTCTATGAATCACGCGTCTCAAGAAATTAAATATGCTATTATATAAGCGATTCTAATGAATTACTTTATCGAGAAAGTAATAATAAAAAATGCCTACTGTAAGAGAGATAAACAATAGAAATTGTAAAACATAAAAAAAGAGTTTTAATTTACATTAAGAAGAATCGCGTCATTATTTTTTATTACTTCTCTAAAGATGCTAAATCACAGAAATATTTCTTTGTGTTTTCCATTATTTTTCTTTCTAATAATAAAACAAGATATTTGTGTAAAATTAATGCGCGGTTTGATTCTTGATTCTACGCTTACAATCGAGAATGTAATTCGTATAACGAGTCCAAAGAGAAGATCATAAAACTCGGTATTTTAATACTTTGTCGCGCAAATAACGGCAAGCTACAAAGAGGAACGGAAAATTCATTTAGTCTCACAATGACAATTAAGCGAGTTACGCGAAAGACGCAAAGTCTTTAATAATTTCCATGTCGAGGATGATGGTTATTTTACGGAGAAATAAGATTTTTGCGCTAACGTTATCATTACGCTTGTTACGCTAAATTGTTATTATGCTCAGCAAAAATGTAAGAAATATCAAAGCCTTTTAACAAAGAAATCACTTTAGAAATTAATGGTAGATATTGTAATATACAGATATGCAGTGTTTATACAGCTTTTTATATTTTGATCTCTTTTAAAGCTCTAATTTTTTTATATTTTTTAATTTTCTTTGAATGGGAACAAACCTTTTAAAAGGAATTCGGGTTAATTGAACACCTACACGGGGCTACACGTGGCGCTTCCTGGTCAATCAAAAAGGAAGCGGGGAAAAAAAATATATCGATTCAACGCTGGCGAAAGAAAGTAAAACTGCGCCACCGGAAAGTGCAAAAGGCAAACAACGTTTTTACACGGACCCCCAGAGAGTAAACCGAGCAGATTTGCTTTCGGAAAATTACGACGTTGCATTCGCAATTTTAATATCCAACATTTTTATCTAACTATCTTCAAAGAAGTTTAATTACCATATACGCGCGCTGCACCTTGGCGGACAGGTTATTCCACAAGCAATCTAGAAAACATCTTTCCAGAAAGTTCACAAAAGTGCTCGCGCAGGAAACTATTAAGAGCAAGATTCTTTGCGCTTATTAAATCCTTGCACATGACACGCACGACGTAAAAAGAATTAAACTCAATTGGAGCACGTCAAATCTCGCAATAAATATTCCAAGCGCATGAAAGAATATTAATATTCAAGGTTGACTTCCAGCTTATGCGGGATAAATGAGAAAAGTCTTCGCGCCAAGTCTTCGTGAAATTTTGTTTCGCGCGTCGGAAAGTTTTCGGAGCCTTTATATAAGGTTTCTCGATAAAACCTCGACCCTTAAAAAAAAAAAAAAAAAAAAAAAAAAAACAAAAAAATCTCCATCACTCTGAATAAAGAATTTGTAATTAAAAACATACGATAGTTCAAGGACATGACCCTTAAAAAAAAAAAAAAAACAAAAAAAAACGAGAACAATCTCCATCTTCCATTTTCATTCGCTCAACTTTTAATCTTTTTCGCCAACCCGTCGTGCTATCCACCATCGTGATTTGGCATCGCAAATGTAAAATTACGATTTTTCTCGTATCACAAAGAGGAAATAAATTGATCGCACTCGGACGATTCTGTTCTCGCGGCCGACCTCACCGATGCAAACGTGGAAATTGGAAATTCCCGCGACCGGAATATAAACGATTAACGACCGTCGCGGAAATTGCACGACTAGGATTGTCGAGAGTGTCATCGAGAAACGATTGTTTCTGCCCAGGTATGATAAGTGTCCGTTATCCGCCGGCAAATAAATACAGTCGAGTTTAACGCGTAAGCGGATCGTAATTCTTCGATATATGTTTGTTTGATATTTGGACTTCGGGATTTCCCGAATAAACAAATAATCTCTTTACGGTCACGGTTTGGCTTCGATCTTAGCGATTGTGTAATTCCCGCAGACATGCAACTGTTCGTGTAATCGAACAATTTTATATTGTCAATCCTGGGCGAATTCAACGTTGATTTATGCGCAAACAAAAAAAATTTTATTCCATTTAATCTCATAACGCCAGGGTAGAGATTATTAAATAAATCGCTAGTGACTATGATGCAAAATTCACTTATTAATGTAAACATTTTATATTTATCCATGTGATAAATCATGTACGCGAAAATAAATAAAAAATACATAGTATAAACATTTTACATTAACTATTTCACAAAAATAACATTAGATATATCTTTTTAACTTATTTAAATATTTTCAGGCAAAACAAAATAACGAAGTTTTTTTCAATGTCTGGCGTTCCATCAAATATAATTTTTAATTTACATTCATGTTACGGTACTGTTCCATTGAATTTATTTAAAGATACAAAGGATACGATTTATTTCAAAAATGTAGTGACCTTTATGAATTGGACTCACTTTCGCATGATTTTTTTCTGCTTAAAATCATTTGAATAATACATTCCTAAGGTCATTCCTAAGGATTTCTCACGAGATTTTGTGCGCGAGTATAACGCGATAGAGAATCTCTTTGATACTTGCAAGATGTACGAAAAATCAAGCATTGAGAAAACATGTCGCGAGAAAGTATAGAGAGGAAAGAAATATAAGCTTATAAAGTCGTACCTTTAGAGATGCCATGTCGGACACGGATCGATGCGTCTGAATGGTCTCCAACTGATCTAAGCACCAGTCTAGTTCCTCTATCGTTTCAACAGCCAGTTTCATAAAGGGCTCCTCTGAAAAATCCGGAAAAGCAAATTTAATACTATAAAAGTGCTTGTTTCGGCAAGCAACAAGTCAACATTGAAAAATGTTATCCGCCAATGTGGTTGTGAGTTTAGTCAATCTTGAAAAAATATCCTGAAACCTTTGATCATTTATATTTCTGTTTTTTCAAAATTTCATAAAATTCTTTAAAAATGAGTTAAATGTGAGAAATATTTTTAAGCGCTCTCTCATTCTTTTTGCGAAATATATGACAGTTTGGAAAATAAATATTGATATTTTAGAAATAAAAAAACGCGAAGTTCACAAAAAACTAGATAGAAATATACATTTAGCAATTGTAATAACAAATGCGTTTTTTAATAGAAATTAAATTAATAGAATCGATGGAGAACTCTAAGATTTTTTTTTCAATAACCGAAACTAAAATATGTGAAACATGGCCGTAATTACTAATATAATTTAAATATTATATTATTAATTTAAATATTATATTAAATATTATAATAAATAAAACTAATTTAAAAAAACAAGGCGTACGAAATTCTTGCTAAATAAAAAGTCGCTGAAAGCTTCGAGAATTAAGAAGGGATGACGTGACCTGGTACAATATTGATAAAAGGATGAAAACAAAGTTTCCTACTTTTGAAAAAAATTGAATAAACTATATATATAAAGTTTATTTGTGTACGTAATAAAAATCTCTGAGAGAAATCAAATATAAGAGTTTTATCGGTATCTAATGTAAATATATACAAAAGTACACTGCGTTCTTCAATTTAAAAAATTGATAGAAATAAATAATCGATAAAATATAAATAAATATCACATTTCTCAAAGCAATTATTCGCGTGTCATCGTTAATATAACAATAATTATTAAATCCCTTTTACAGAGGGCAAGACAAAATTTTCCGCGAATTATCAATAGATCGAAAAAAAATAATTAAACGTGATGTCAATATATATGTGTATTAAATTAAATAAAGATCATAAAAAATCACTAAAGGTTTAAAACAAAATTCTTTAATATGAAAATTATTAGATCCATTTGAAGCTAAAATAACTATAACAAAAGAAAATGTAAAAGATATTATGTTATCTCTCTCTTTACCTCCTGGCGCCAAAATCCGTGGCTGTGGCGTGCTACTGCCCTGTTGGCCACTACTCCTTCGCGATCTGGAAAAAACGGATGAAAAATTAATCAAAATTCAGGCCAATTGCAATGTCGTAATATCAAACGCACAGACGTTAATCTACTTACTTATTCGTCGGTACATTCGTGAGCGACAAGAAATTGTTCCTGACCGAGCGCAGAGAAGCAAGAATCTGTGCGAAGGGTGTAACGATGAGGTCCTCGCCATGGCTGTAATTGAAAGAGAGAAGGCATAATTCATCATCGACGTCTCGCTGATCCTGCATAATCGATAGGGCAAAGTTCGAAGGCTTTGCTATGAATATTTTGCCGAAAAGTCAGTGTCTACGTCGCTTCGCGTGTAAGTTGCATGCAAACGTGATAGCTCGATAACGTTACAAACGTAATTCCCATTCTGTCATTCTCTCTCATACACGCATGTATACATTAGATATATATACATAAACACACTTGCACATTTTTGCACGTTTCATCATGAATATCCAAGAATCGGATCTGAAGAAAAAAAAAAGAAAGAGATCAAAGCATAAAGTACGCGATTTCGTGCAAAAACCGCTAATTCAATAAATCTTTATTCTTGCTACGATGAAAGAAATTCTGCATAGGATTGCGTCAGGAGGATATGACATTCAGAAATAAACTATATTCTTGGATACTTGAAAGATAAAAGAGTAGATCACACGCAGAAATATTTATTTATTAAAAGACACTGGGTAGCTTCTCGCACGTGTTTGCGATTTGAATATCTCGTAAAGAAATTCCAAATAATTTTTATAGTATAAAAACAAATACTCGATCGGCTATAATTGATGAAAAATTATGTTAGACTTTTACACATTTCCCAAACAAACTGCCATATTTTTTTCATACATCATTTATTACTGCTTGTGCAAATGTATGTGAAACAGCTTCCATTTATTATACCGCCGCCCTAACTTCTGGCTATAGCGAGTATCTAGTTTTATCCGAATTTAATCCTATAACGCAAATCTACTGTGTATCACGTCGATTTATCGCGCATCGAATTTTATGCTCTTCTATTCCCACGAGCATCCAATACTTCCGGTATATACAAACCACTTTTCTTTAGCCGTTTTTTGTTTGTCCCTGGGGTTAAGCGACCTCCTGTTTTCGATCCCCTTCGTACATCTAGCATCCGTTATTTTATCCGGTATTTTTTGTATCTCTCACAGAGTTACCGTAACAATTAAGCGTGCGTATTAACACGGTACTACAATTTAGTATACTCAAAACATAATTCAGTATGAAACGTATCCATGTGTGCGTGCGACTACACGTGTATTACTTATTTTACATCGCTGACAATAACATTACGCAAATGCCTGAATAAACGCACGTGCATAATAAGCGAGATTACAAAGGGCTTTCACATCAGATAGATCTTGCGCGGAAGCTTAGGTAAAGTCTTTGGAGATGGATAATTCTCCCCGTACATCCCAGTAACAATGCTTAAATATCCACAACTATTTCATCTTTCGTTAAAAAAATGTATCACTCGAGGATTGCTATATATGTGTCATAATCGATTATCTTTCTGGAAAAAAAAATCACAGATAATATTTATTCTTAAATAATATTCTCTTTCATTTTTTGCAAGTCTTCCCCCC